CACATACAGCAACGCTGTCTCAGAACTGGAATTTTCCAGTCTCCAGCTAAAATGAAATCATAATGCCAAACCAAAGTGGCATAATCAAAGAGAAACAACAAAGGTGCATGAAACAAAGTCAAAATGAAAGAGCAAAGCTGAAACAAGATGGTCAAATCCAGAGCAAAACAGTCAACACGTGTTTTGAGTCAAGCAAAAAATGTTTTGCTGAAAGATTCGCCAAAATCAATACAGGTCTACGAAAGAATTCAGCTTTAATAAATCAGTGTTTCTCAGCAAAGCACAGAATTTATGTTTGAAAAATTCAATCACCTCTGTGAATGAAGTTCATCAAGTTCAGTTTTGTTGCAGGTGTGTAAGACAAAAACTGTATACCTTTTGATTAGTGCATTTCTGGAGTGTAACTTATTCTACAGATGCTGTAGTATAAAATGCCCCATCCAAAGTCAGTTGAAGTCTGTGGCAAGATTCCCACAAACTTCAGTGAATTAGAAATGATGGGACTGGGAGATAGAGGGATGGAATTAAATAAATACCCTATAGCTTTATGCAAGAACTAACTATTAAGTTGATACCCATTAAAAATTAATTTTTTTTTTGCTGATACAATGTTTTTTTCTCTTACAGATAAACATGTGTTCAGCAACAGTTGTTCTATGGTTTTTTTTCTTTTATTTGTAAATATATTAATATGTTATAAGTCCTATATGTTAACATTTGAAAAACTTTTCCTCTGATGATGGCCTCCAAGGATTTTCAAGTACTTAATCATGTGTCTAATCTGAAATTTTTCAAGCCCCAACAGACACATGATTGCGTACCTCTCAGAAAAAAAGAACTTAAAATTCTGGCGAAAGTCTTGGAGGGATGATATGCAACACGCGGATAATGTTTCAGAAACTCAGAGCCATGTGGTTTCTGTAGAGTGAAAAACACTTATGATCAAAGTGAAGAAGGTTGTTTGTTTTTTTTAACAAGATTTTTAGCTTTTAAATCATGTATTATTAGTCTGGGCCATTTTTATTTTCATAAAGTCAAGACACTTTGCACAATGTAATTCTGTAACCAGAACACTGCTGAAGTTAAAATCCTGAACTTAACTGTACTGTTAAATGTTGTCCAGGTTGGCTGTTTTATTGAAACTAGTGCATATTATTTTTAAGTTGAATTTACTGCTCAGGTTACTGTTTTTCATGTATTTTAATAAATATGATTCCTTTTAAAAGTAAGTAAAATGTTCAAAATACAGATTGAGGTTTCTTTGAACTGCAATTTAAAATTAGTATTTTGAGATTTTCCACCAAAGAGACTTTTAACCACAGTATAGGAGTGAAGAGTCTAAGCAGGGCTGAAGAAAGAGATATCCCCTTTCTTAAATATACGATTTGTCTTTGTAATGACTAAAACAGATGCCTGCTTTGCCACAAATCTATTGCTTCAGAGTATGTATAAAGTCAAGCACTGGACTCATCCTTTCTGTGGCTGTGAGGCATTTGTTTTGGTGCCCTTACTCAGGGAGTATAGTATTACTCAGCATGAGTAAAAGTGGCAAACACAGGTCCTTCATCATTGCCATTTCACTTCAGACTAAATGTGCAACATGTGGCCATTACCCATGGAGCTGAGTCAATGGGAACTTCACTAGCTTTCACACAGGAGGCAGAGGAAACTTTACGAGGAGGCTGTAAAAGAACTGAGATCACCACATGAACATCTGTGCTGCAGACCTTCAGCACTCGTGCTACCTGGATAGCTGGCTTGATCCTGCCCTGTTCACAGAGGCACTCTGTGTTTTTCCCTTTAGCTGACCGAGATCTCATAAATGCATGTAACAACATCCCTTTTTAGTTCTTTTTCAGCAACAGAAGTTTTTTCTGGTGTGACTGGGTATTCAGGTGAGCAAGGAAACATAACAATGTAATGTGAGACACAAAATGAGCTCAGTAAGAGCCATAAGCACTGGATTAGAGTTATGTGGAAAGAGTCAAGGTCTTGGGGAGAACAGTTTTGTTGTCTGGCATGGTGGGAATCACTGTGTAAAAGCTTCATATTGAGCTAAAAGAAGTAAGAACTTGGGGATAGTGGACTTTATGTGATGGAATACTGCACTGAAAATTTAAAATAGAGACAATGAGAAGCTTTGGAAGAAACTTCCAGACAAAAGATGATTGGAAACAAGGACTTAAAATTCAAGCCTCCTGCTATATTGTAGAGCCATTTTTTTCTTCTTCTCCTTTTTTCTGCCCCAAAGAAGGGACTGGCTCCAAGGTTCCAACAGGAGGGAATGACTCACTCTACAGTCGCTGCTTCAGGCAGCTGCTTGAGATATGAAAGACCAAGATGCTAGGCAGCAAGTCTCATTACTCACTACTTGCATAAATCTTTTAGCAAAAGCAATGAAGAGGTACAGCTGGCTCCTGTGAGATCCCAAGCACCTTCTGAGAGGGAGAGAGCGCTTTCAGTAACTTCTGAAATATGTGGCAGACAGGCACCCTGAAGGAGGGTACACGGTTCAGCATTACACTGCTGCATTTCCCTACACAAAACCAGATGTATTTGGCAAAACCTGAGTCATCTAGCTAGCAGTGTTTAATTAATTCTGATCTAAAGTTGAATGCAATTAAAATTGCTACAGAGCAGCCCACTGTATACCAAATTGTGTTGGTTCTGTTTAGTCTGGTTTTTTCTTGTAAAAGGGTTGACAGTCATAGACTGTCTACTTCCTGGGTTGCAAACTGATGAAATATTTATTCTCCGTGTATCAAGGGCAAGAGTTTGCAGAAAAAGCAGTTATACAAAAGGCAACAATCCAATACTTATCAAGGATGTTTTCAGAACAAATGGTATGTCACTAGAATTTGTTAACTAAAACTTCCAGAAAGAACGTTGAAAAGGCACATGTTGTTTAAAAGGGGAGAAATTCACACAGAAAACCAGAAGGTTAGAATTTGTCCTAACTAAAGACTAGATTACAGGCAAAATGTCCAGTCCGTACTTCGGTCTTTCAGAAGGACTGATGATTTTCATCCCCATTAAAGTCAATTTTACCCACAACACTTGAAACCGATCATAAACAATTTGGGGGAAGAACAGAAGGAGTGATATGACAAAACTCTGCTCTGCAGATTACAGCACACACTCCTGAATTTAACTAGTCCTTATTCCTTTATGCAGTTCCCTCGAAGTCCATTAGGACTACTTCCACATGCAAAGTTTTGGAACACCTTACCCACAAGCAATAAAGATTAAAAACAAAAATAAATTCTATTTTAAAATATTGCAGAGAAGAGTGTCTGAGAACAGCCAGACTGTAACATTGCACCAGATGTTGGGATTTGTTCTCAAGCAGTAAGGTTTGTTCATAAATGAGCCTTCAATGCCTGAGTTAGAAAGATCTGCAGCTGCAGTTGGTTCACCACCCACAAAAATGAGGACAGTACAGGCTGCACATTTCAAGCTGTTCTGACTTACAGGACTGAGTCAAAAAACCCTAGATATTCATAGTTAAAGACCAAGTTCTGAACTTTTAACTCAACACAAGTAGCCTTTACATGTTAATGTCAGTTGTACTATTTGCAGCCACAGGAACTTCCTTGAACAGAGAGGCCCGCAGGAAAACTGTTGAGCAGTCCAACCTCCCTATGTTGCTGAGGAGGCTTCAAGTCTCAGTGAAGCAGGATATTCAGCTGGGAAGAAGCACTCTGATCTCTTTGAAGCACTCTGATCTCTTCAATGTGATGCACCTTCCAACAGTATCAGTGTCCTCTTGCACAAAGAACAACATTCTGTGATGGAGGGGCTATTAAAAGGGTACAACTAAAGTGATGGGATCCTCTCTTAACAGACACAGATAGCTGGTCTGTGGTATTTGAAAGGGCTACACAGAAACGTACATGTTGCACATCCTGAGATGCACGGATGGGTTTCTGTAGGTGTAGGGAAAGAGTAAGTAGTCATCACTAATGACAGAGAAAATTGTAGGAGGGATGTTCTGGAAGAGGCCAGGCAGATGAGACCAGGACCTCCATGGTGGCAGTCTGTGAAGCAGTGCCAGTTCCAGGAAGGCCTGGGAGACAGGCAGGGGTCTAGAAGTGGTGCACAGGTGAGATGATATAGGGAAAAGAAACTCAGGTACACTAGAAGCTGGTTAACCTTTTGGGACAAAAGAAACGTATGCTAGGATAGGCTACACCATAATAATAGCAGAGCCAGGCTGCTGGCACTGACAATGAACAAGGTTACAGAGGAATATTTAACTCCAAAGCCAAAGGAAAGCTGACAGGTGTGGAGGAGATCTGGCTTAGATTGATGCAGTCTACCAGGTGAATGTGGCAAATGCTTGCTGCATCTCTGAAAGTACCAGGAGAGAAACAAGCAGCAGTAAGAAAGGCAATTTAGACCATCCACAGTACCAGCTGACTGGCGTGTGAAACACTGAGTGAGTGAGAGGAGAACTTACAACTGCTTTAGAAGCCTGAAAAATATGATAGGACAAAATGCCTGGAATGCAGATAACCCCCAAATTACCATCATCTCAGAGACCTGAAAATGGCCAGGCTTGTATGCAGTCTGTAAACAGTCTCTCTAACTGCCATCACTGGAGACAGAACATCAAGTTAGACGACAGTCATTCACCTGGTCAAGTAGGACATTTCTTCTGTTTTTATGTTCATTGACACAAAGAGACCAGGGCGCACTCAGGCACCAAATTATCTGCAGACTGAGGGTGACTATGGGTACGGTGTGTCCCTCTGTGTAAAAACACTACTCAGGCTGAAATCTTACCTTAAAACTTTGCCTATCTTTGTCTGTCAATGTTACTTTTAGACACTCATTTTAGTTCGGCTTTTCTTTCTGTTTTTGTAAAGCCATAGTGATAAAACAATTTTTTAAAAACTCATGTACACCGCAAGAACTGAAACAAAACACATATTAAAGAAAACACTTTTCAGGGTTAGCACGGTGAGCATACTGAAAATTATAACTAAAAAAAAGCTTACGTTCATAGCAGTAGGCATCAAACTTGCTATCTGGGTAAGGAAAGCCTGTTTGGTTTTCATAGCGATACAGGGTTCTCACCCCAAGTAAACCTCCACCACACTGGGGCCTTGCCACTGAGGCTGGGTAACGAACACTGCCATCCGCCAGCCAGCCATAGTCACATTGGTCAAAGCCATTCCTCCAGGCGACATACAGATTCCCAACAGAAGCAAGAACACCATCTCTTTTCCGACACAGCTCTTTAGCTTCCTCAAAGGTGAGCTTCTCGGGGACTGAGACATGAACCACTTCATCTACAGGAAGAAAACAAAGATAAATAAAGACTGAGTATCACATTCCACCATCATGTCAGCTTAGTTCCCCTCTTCCAGTCAGTGTCCTGCAAGGTTGGGGATTTTTTCCAAAATCTGTTTCAATAGTTTTTTGCTTAAAAAAAATCAGACAGTTGGAAAATCAAATGTCCCAGATTCGAATATGAAAATGAACATACCACAAAGCATAAGCATTTATATGCAAACTTTATGCCACAAAGTACACTGTGGTTGGAGATTGGGTCCCTCCCTCAGTTGCTAGGCTAGAGGTAACAGCAGCCTCTAAGTTCCTCTGTGACCTCTATTGGAGTAGATGTGGCAACTCAGCTGCACTAATTAAATCCAGTCCAACAGAATTTACTTTCTCAGTAAAACAGATCTTTTACATCTGCAAGCCTCTTACCTGACCTTTTTAGTCATCACTAGAATCTTACTTGAGATACACAAAAAACCCAAATGTTCTTCACTGGCTGTTCCACAACAGCTTCTAATGTCATATTTCCACAAGTCTTCACCTTGCCCCATAAGGAAACAAAGGTGAGGGAATGCAATAGACATGTTGCATACACAAAGCCCTTTTTGTGTGAAAAAGCTGAATTAGTATAGAACGCTGGTAGTATAGTTTAGCTTCCATGGAAAAACAATTTGTAAATAATAGCCGTCCAGTTGGAAACTGAATAGCACATCTAATATTTTATTTCCAAGCTAAATCGCTATTATGCAGTTGGCTTGGTTGCCTTATTCACCCAAACACTATAAACAAAATCAAGGCTCTAATGTTCATGTCCTGGGAATGAAACAGTAAAGTTACTGCTTTCTAGTTTTTGATCAGACTTCAAATGAAACTGATGAGACCCAAAATCAACATGTTCAGCTGTAGAAAACAGTGCAAATTCAAAACATCTGTTACAAGACAGTAATTCTCTTCCTCAGGTACAGTAGGCCGAACACAACAGTCACTGCTGAAGGAAAGCACTGCTTAATCATATTGGACATGCAATCTGTCTTACCTCTGCAGTTGTCTCAAGGCAACCTAGCAAAAGGCAAACAGAAACTACATCACCCCAAGCAGTTTCATTCACATCAATATTAGCCTTGTTTCAGGCTTGAAAGGAATGCAAGTGTGAAAGGAGGCAATGTACCAATATTCTTTTTCCTTCTAGGTAGAAACTCTGATTTGTTATTACAGCTGTATCAATTACAGTATCAATTCCACAGTGTAAGTTTCTTTATATATTTTGTAAGGTGTTTCTAATTCAGTGGTAAAGGGACAGAGCATGTCTGTTGGAGAGAGACAGATAAGGAAAGCAAAGAATCATTCATCCTCAGAAGTACCAGAATGCTTCATTCAGCTCTTCAGACCACATCGATAATGCACTTTTTTATTAAACACCTCTGCAGAAGACAGCTTTTTCTGCATCAAGGGGGATCTGGTACCATGGCCAGTACGGAATGATGAATGCAGTTATCCCACCATACTCTCCCAACAGCAGTATCATGAAACAATGGAGCAAAGAAAGACATCTACAGAGCAGCCCCCTCTGTTCTGAGGAATATTCACTTATCCTCTCACGCAGCAGCCATGACGTATATGATATGAAAATTAGCAGTTAAAACTACTGCAATTAAATAGCAGATATTGGTCCGGTTAGACAAGAAAATGAGACAAGTAACAAAAACAATGCATTTTCATGGTTTCTAGAAACAAACATGATGGATCAAAAACTAAATAATGTCAAACAATCCCAACAGCATCCTTCTGGGAGAAACTTTTCGAATACACAGGAAAATGGGTAAACAGTACAAGATTAATAGCAAAGCAATTTTTCCATCAACTGATCTGGATCACTGCCTCCAAATGGAGCTTGTGCATAACATCATTAAAGTTATGGGTATTTATTCTTCTGAGCTGTCATCTGCTCTCTGTTAAAGCAAATAAACTTAGTGAATGGTTATGTCTTGTTATAAGACTTCAGAAAGCAGGGTTCAATCAGTACTTGTGTAAGAGAGGACACTTGGCAGAGAACTTACTTATCAAAGTTGCACAAGAGCATTTCTATATGGAAAGCTGCCTTAAATTTGGTTGGAGTATGCCTGCATATACAATATTGATAATACTGCACATTTGAAGATGGGTGGCATATCTTTCTTTGTATTGAATCTATTCTACTGACCCCACATCTATTTATTTGGTTCATTTCATAAAATCAGCTGCTGTCATCCAGGTATCTTTGTCAAAGGGTGTTTTACCAAAAAAACTAAATGATAAAAACTCCCATGTGTTTAAGGACAAATGCATCATAACCAGAATAGCTCAATAAGTGAAGTCAAAAGTCATATTCTTTGCCACTGATCTGGCATATTAAAGAATTTGTGATGATAAATTTACGAAGAAGGCAAAAAGGTACCAGAGCACTCAGCAAAATGCCCTTATTGTCATTCCATCATATACCAAGTAAATACTCATTTATTTCAGGAATGCTAGTGATAAGATAAAGGGTGCAAAGATGTTAAAACATGGCAGCTTGCAATTCCTCTAGTTAAAGAGTGTTTTTCTATGATTCCAGAATGCTTATTTTAAAAAAAATCCAGTAAAGTGCAAGAGTCACATTCCAAGTATCAGTCATTTACTCTAAGAGATACCACTCCACAATTTGTCTGTCCAGTTTGAAAATAAATTAAAATCCTGTAGGATTGAGTGTGCATTAATGTACATAATACTTGTTGGAATGAAACGTGAAAAACAAAGCAAGGGTTTAATAAAGGCCTTGCGTGCTATATAAATCCAGAAACTCTTAAAAGTTGTCCTGCAATCTTCCAAAACCACCTTACAAAAAGAGAGAGCAAGGTTTATGTTTTCTGTTAAGAGCTTGGGAAGAAAACAGTGCTCAAAACACTTCTTCAGCTGAATGGCATCAGTTTGATTTACAGCAGCTCTAAATTATTTGATGAGAAAGTGTGCACAATCTTTCCTGCTCTTCTCACCTGGAGCAGACTGTGGGCATGTATACTTCATGACAGCAGACTTAGCACTTCAGGGATATGGTGACACATACAGCACAAAGACAACTAATCAAGACCTATTGTTTGTGTATAGTAAGTGCAATCACTTGGAATGTGCAGGGATGACATTTTGCCATCCACGTCACCTCTCTGACTTGATTAGTGCTGAGACACTTGCTTACCACCAGTCTCCTTGGTCGGAAAGAGATGGCTACAAAACTGTTGATATTTTGGGTGCATGTTCTGGAACTGCTACTTAATAATCTCCCACTTCTTCATCCTCACAGCAATGTGGAAATTCAGTTTATTGTATGTAAAAAGAGCACTGGTCTTACATCACTGTCAACGTGGCTTAAGAACAGCGAGAAGCTCAAGGAACTTCCTCTGACACCACCAAGCACTTAGGGAAAAAATCATACAATGGAACTCAGGTTCTGCTGAACTCTTTCATGGACTCAACCTCAAAACTGACAGAGGCTTTCAAGAGGCCATGGAAAAAGGACCTGTGCTCTAATCCTGACTTCCAGCATGTCAGTCAATGTACCTGAAACATCCTGACTCCTTCAAAGTACCAAAGAGAAAAGCATTTGACCCTTGCACAGAAACTTCCTCTAAAAACCAAGAAATTTAATAGTGAATCTAATAAAATGTATTTAATCCACAGAGTCTTTAAAATTAATTGTTATTTTTGCAAATAACAAAAATTGCCTATTGCCTATTTAGCAGAAGGATTCCTCCTGACACACTCTTACAGTGTCTTTATTATGATAGCTGAAAACACCTAAGCTTCCCAGCCAAAACACTGGAAACAAGGAAATTAAGAGAGAAAGCTTGTCTGGTCGATAAAGAAATGACATAGCCACCAATACCAAAGCAGGGCAGATTCAATTTTGTGTGTGTGTGTGTTAAAAGCCCCGTGCAATGTTTTTATAGCTGGAGCACACTCAGAATAACTTAGCAATATTATGCAGGCAAACCCCAGGGCTTAGACCAGCAGATGAACAGAAACTAGTTCTACAGTACCAGGGGGTGAAATTGAGACCGTGACAATGTTTAGACTGCAGACAATAGTGTAATGTATATTATTGCTGGCTCCCATTTAAAACCAAGCTTCAAGTTGATCATCGAGCCTCAGCGGTAAGAGCACATGAAGAATCCCCAGGATTTTCCTGTTACATGTGTTTGTTTTGCTTGGTTAAAACAGCCACCTGATGAAAGTCATGCTTTTTCCCTCTCTTTCAAATATATCAAGCCAGATGAAGAAGCCAGGTTTTTCTCTTGAAGACGAAAGCTGATTCACTACAACCCCCAAGGAAAAAGCTGAAGATCTACAGACTTATCAGCTGGTTTTATAGCAAGCTTCATTCCTTTGAAGGTTAATTCACTTATTGTCTCTCATCAGGAGACATCTCACTGAGCTGGGCATGTTTATAGATGCAAATTTCATGAATCACACATCTTAAAAGCAAGCACAGAAATAAGGGCAGGGTAGAACTATAGCCGGGAGTCACTACACAACGTGTATTGACTAGGGTGGAAGTAATGAATCTAGATGTAAGCCCTCCAGCACAGACCTCATCAGTAATTTCTTTTTCCATACATGAAACCACAGTTAAGGGATTGGTGGGTTGCTACTTCCTAGAGGAGGTCTTTGAGCCTGACTATATGGCGTTCTCCTCCCAGAGCAGAGCATCATCTCCTCAACTTCACATACCATAACCCACCATGCCAGGTACAACAAAATGAGCTACAAGCCACTTGCACCTGGCAGATGAAGGCATCACATGCGAGTCAATGACAAAAGTTTTACAGATGTCTGAAGGATTCTCCCAAACTGCAGAGAAGCTTAACAGGTAACCTGTGAGTCTCCTACTGAATACTTTTGACACATCTGGTAATACAACTGCTGTGGATGGTGGCTTGTCAACCACCTATAAAATGTCCTTGCTATTATCCAATCTATGTGAGGGAATGACAAA